CACACACACACATTTAAAAAATGAGTAGTTTTGACTGTTTTTTAACAATGTGGAAAGTGGAACTGAGGGGGAAATGAAAATGTGATTGATAAGCAATAATGACAGCAAAAAGATCTTTAAAAGTCTTCCATTTAAAGACATTAAATAAAGACATAAAAACTTTAGGGTTGGATAGATAGCTGAGGACAAACAATGATGAGAAGGTAACTGGAGTTAATTCTAGATATCAAACTGAAACTCCTGTTTCAAATGATAAACAGTTATTTCATAGTTTGACAGGCTTGTCATTATTTAACCAACTCAAATAATCATTCATTCACCCTGAGATTTCAGCACAGGTTAATTATCCACCTGTGTGGTGCTGTGCAAAGTAAAGACTTCATTCATCTCTATGCATACACACACTCATTTATCTGTTTCTCAGATCTATCCAATTCGGAAACTGAGGAAAATCCAACAAGGCTCCTTCCTTCAACACTTCCAGCTCTTTCCATGATACTCTCCAGTGCCAAACTCAAACAGCAGCTATCCCAGAGACCCACTGTCTCTTTAATGCTCCCTGAGCTGCTTGCATACCACACACAGTGAGGACTTGGAGTTTGAGGAGGAAATTTCTTTACAAAAACTCTGTATTGAATGAATCACTAGAGTATATACTGAATATATTTCAGAGGTTAAGCTTTAAAGGAATAGAATAACTCAAAAATGAAAATGAGTCATTACTTACTCACCCATGTCAATTTAAACTTGCATGACTCTTTTTTCCATGCAGCACAAAAGGTGAATATAATGAAAGTGAATGAGGACTGTGTGTCAGATACAGACTGAAATACATATGGACCAATTTTATGATACTTTTATGGTGCTTCTTTGTCCTTTTTTAACTTTGAAGCATTTTAACAGCATTTAAAAAAGTACAATACAGTACAATATTCTGAATTTCTCTGTTTGTGTTCCACAGAAGAAAGTCAGTCATACAGACTTGGGTGGACTATCTGTTTAAGTAAGTGGATTAATGCACAGGGTTATGCATTCTGGTTGAAGGTGTGGTTTCTGAATCATTTCCTGGATTTCTCTTATTTTTTGGTCTAGGATTTATGGAAATCCATCTGTCTGAAACTGCAGTAGAGATGTAATTACAAAGATGAATTCAACTAAATAATGTTTCATATTGAGAAATGCTTTTTCTCAGACAGCAGGTTTGTCTTTCTCCACTCAGAACAACTTAGAAAACACATTCAACTCTAGAGGGCACTGTACTTGTTGAGCTAATACACAGGTGGGTGGGAAGAGAACAAGAGAAAGGAGATGATTGGAAAAGACTCAGATTTAAAAAAGGTATGAACGTCACGCTTTTTCATTCACATACACACTTTTTCTTCCTACCCTTTGTCTTTTGTCTCTCACTGCATCTGATATTTCATAAGAATGCTGCCTAAAACAGAATATGGAAATATTCTCCAAACATCATTTCATGCACGACAAAGTGAAACAACAGCTTAAAATCAACCTTTTATCTTTAAACCGTTGCTTCAGAATATAATTCCATAATCCGTAATAATGAAAAAGTGAAGAAGGCAATCCCCTGCTGTCCTCTCACATCAAAATATTTGTTTAGAACTGTTTTGGACTGTTTTCACTTGTAAACGATGCTTGATCTGTGCATATTTCTCTCTTTATTCAGACGAAACAACTTTTATGGATAGAGGATTAGTTTGAAGTTAAAATACTTTTAAAATGGATTTTCACTTCACAAGATGTTAACTGATGGACTGGAGTCGTGTGGATTACTTGTGATGTTTTGATCAGTTGTTTGATCTCTCATTCTGACGGCACCCATTCACTGCAGAGGATCCATTGGTGAGCATGTGACATAATGCTAAATTTCTCCAAATCTTTTCCGATGAAAAAACAAACTCATCTACATCTTGGATGGCCTGAGGGTGAGTAAATTTTCAGCAATTTTTCATTTTTGCATCTAAGACTCACCCAGAACAGGAAGTTGAAAACGAAGAGGAGGTACTTGAGACACACTGTGATCCAGTCGTCCTGCTCATCCTTATACAAGCTGCCCATCTCTCCTGTTGGTGAAAAGAGAGAAAAAAGCTGTGCTACAGAAAATAAGTACTCATGAAGCGGTGGTTGTTCACTCTTTGCGTATTTATGAGGCAAAATGGGAAAAGGACAAAGAAGAGGAGGTGGGCAGGAGCATAAACAGGCTTTTGGAAAGATGGCAGTCAAACACTGTTCTTTTCCATGACATGTTAATTAACAGCTGTGCTACAGAAAAGAAGTACTCATGAAGCGGTGGTTGTTCACTCTTTGCGTATTTATGAGGCAAAATGGGAAAACGACAAAGAAGAGGAGGTGGGCAGGAGCGTAAACAGGCTTTTGGAAAGATGGCAGTCAAACACTGTTCTTTTCCATGACATGTTAATTAACAGCTGTGGCCCATGGGTTTCTGCCACAGACAGACGACACGCTCACGTCTCAGGGCCTAGTGTGGAGGCGGTGCATGTCAAAACAGCCGCCATGTATGGCCGATAAAATGAGGGTGTTTGGCTTGTAATGGTTGAAAACACAACAAAACTACACACACTCCAACCCACACTGCTGGTTTTAAAAACCTTGAGGACAACAAATGTAGCTCCAGATTAGAAAGGTGACACGTTCTGCTCCAAAACACAAAATTAGACTGCAGACTTTGGTTTATATATAAAAAAAAATCTCTGCTATAATGGATTTTATAGTCTGGATTTTCACTGTAAGACCTATTGATTTCTTTTGGATACTGAGGCATAAAGAAGTTGTTCAGAATAACTGCGGGGACATATTGATTTGCTGATCACGTGTTATAAATGTATGGAGAAAGCCCTTGCCGTGTGTCAGTAGTAATCACTTAGAGTGCTTTTTCTAAAGGGTTATCTACCTGTATTAAGTAGTGAATACATATTAGTTATCATGGTGACAGACTCCAAATGCAGAACTTTGAATTTGGAATTAAGATTTAGTACAAAATAATGTTTTATTCATTGCATTTGCATTTATTATTCACCTCACAGGTCTGCCTGATAAAGACAAACTATCCTCTTGTCCACTCTGTTGACAGACCGATGGCGTTGGCTGGGATTTGGGACACATGCATGCTTTGTGTCGTTATGGGTTACCACAAGTATTCAAAGAAATGTTTCAAGAATTTTACGGAAGCTTGATCTTCTTATTTACTCCTAATACCGATTTACTTAAAAAAAAAAAAAGCTGTATTATTAAACCACATATTGATTTACTTCAAAAGAAATGTTGCATTATTAAAAAATTTAATAAAATATTGAACTTTAAACCAAACCAATGGATGTTTTTTTTCCTTTAGAAAAAGCTGTAATAGTATAATATACCATAAAATATACCGTTAGCACAATAATACAGGTGTTATTAAAGGAACATACAATTACATATATCATCAAATGTAATGTGTCATGCAGGGATTTGTAACAATATCTCACTGTAAAAGTACACACTGCTGGGGGGGGGGGGTTACTGGTTTGCTGGTCTCTGACTGGTTGTAAAAGAGGTTTCAACACAAGACTACCAAACCATTCGTGGGTTGGTTTAGATGTGTTTTGTTTGTTTGTGTTTTGTTTTTCCCAGCAGAGTACTGTCTTCTTGAATATAAAATGGACTTTCACTGTAAAGTTTTCTACCAATAAAGAATTTAAACAGTTTCTTAACCGTAAAAATATATTGTCCCATTAAAAAAAAAAATTCTACTGTAAGGTAACAGATTTTTACTGTAGCATTTCTTGGGTTCTTTTTTGTTAAAATAAGTAACATTTTTACAAATAGCATCAGGTATTTTTAAGGTTAAAGGAAGCTGAAAGGCTTACTTTGGTCTATTTATACGGCGTTTCACTTTCGCTCTGTTACCTCTCTGTGTTCAGGGGAGTTTGCTGTGGTTTCCTCGCCGGTGGCGAGTGACACGTTGACTCAAAATGATTAAAAATAAAATTAAAAAAATGCCACGGATGCTTTTCATTTCTGAGCGATGTGAATAGCATGAGAAATTACTCTTCTGAGCATTTCAATTATTTCAGTTCACATTATTATCCTCCTCCTTCCTTCTTCAACACACTACATAGGCTACAATGAAAGCAATGGTGGTTGTCCCGAGAGAAAAAAAAAGAAGACATGGTGTTACAATGCAGCCGTTTCTCTTTCTTTCCTCCCCCGGACTTTGGCCTTATAGTTTACCGCAAAACGCATCAAGGTTTCTAAGTTGCGTTGATCCTGCGACACTTTCCGCGCTCATGAACGTAAACAAAAAAAAAATGCACACTTTATTTTTTCTAGAACCACCTGCTCTTATGTCGCGTTTGGGACAAACACCAATGTCCCTTTCCATCGCACAAAGAGAAAACATAGCGTGTTTACACTTACCTGAACAGCAGATAAAGCTCGTTTTCCCCAGTGAGGCTTGTTGCTCCGGAGGCGTGTGTCTAGTCGGCGGGGGTATCGGAGGGTCAGCGCAGGATGTGAGGAGGAAATGCAACTACAGCCCGCCCCTTCATTCATTTCATGAGATTAAATACAGCAAGCTGTTCATCTTCAAAGGCTGCTCGTGGACTAATAACTGTTAGTAGTGCTTTTAAGTAAGTTGCTTTGTCCCATTCTCTGAAAAAAGAAAATCTATTCTTTTCTCTCCTTGGGTTGAATTTGTAAAATTCATGTGAATGTGAATTTGTTGAATAATAAATAAAATCAGCATAAATAAATATAGATACATTTTCATTGTGAAAAATTTGAACATGGCTAAAATATGGCTAGTTGTGGAACAAGCAAAATAAATTGTAGTATGAATTATTAGTAATTAATTAAAATAGGGATTACCATATAAAATGGAGAAAATGTATATTATATTGTATATCTTATATTTATTATTATATTTTATTCATATTATATTTTAACCATGTCATATTATATGAGTCAAAATCATATTATAATTCATGGGGAAATGGGCATTCCCTATGCAAACAAACACATTTGTTGCAAACATGTTTCTTATTTTAGTAATCATTTACATATTTTTTTAATGTTGCATATGTGTTATTTTTTTATGTTTATAACATTATTTTCATTATGCTAGTTTTGAGAAAGTACAGATTTGTCATAAAGGTACTTTTAATTATTTAAAGTACCTACATCTGTCAATGTCCCCAAGATGAAAGCAAGGACAAAGCAGGGACAAAGTAAATTATGATTCCCAATGGACTTCAATAATTCACATTCACAGAATCGTTCACATTATGGAAATAATCCTGACAGTTTCTCAATGCACGCAGCTTGACTTTCTGTTGACTCTCCATTTGATCTCAAACACCAGCCTCAGTTGTTCTCTCTGCCCTTTTGTGCACAGAAGTTCCTCTGTGTGCCTTTCTCTTTCAAACCTAAATTCCGGTAACCTAATAAAGTCAAAACCCCATTAGGAGAACATAGGCAGCCATAGGCAGCGGATATAAGCCACAGTTACCTGTCTGTGACACAGTTTTCCAGCTGAAACAGCATTAGAGAGGAAAATGTTATCCATCATGTCTGAATTAATGGAAAGAGTCTACTGAGAGAGCGAAGAAACCACTTAAAGTGAGAAATGTCATTGCTAATCTGTATTCTGGCTCTGTTAGGGCTCCTAATGGAAATGAACACAAACGAAAGCGCATTGAATTTGAGATTTGAGTTCTGCATCTTCTATCTGTTTTTTCCAGATAAAATGTCTGTTGATCGACAATAGACTGCAAAGTTTTCATTCTGGGAATCAAATCTGAGTCAAATCAGCTGGAAATCCAGGTACAAGCGGTGACATGAGGGACAACAAACATCGAGAAGATGGCAAGAAAGCATGACATTAACAGTGCAGCAGATGACAGAGAACTTTGAAAAGGAGCTCAGCTTATTGAACTGATGTTTATCCATTTGAATTTGTCTCATTGTGATTCCCGCCTGGTTCTGTCTGGTTTTGTCTGCCGCTCCCCTGTTATTTCATTGTTGTGTCCTCATGTCGTACTCAGTTCTAAGCTATTAAATGGCACCTTCATGGTTTGTGTGTATATGTGTGAATGGACACATGAAAACGGCCTTCGGGATAGTGAAAAGGACCAAGAAAAGGACAAAAGAAACCTACTGACTCACAGACCATAAATGTAACCGCACACACTTCCTCCATGAAGTCTCAGAAAAGGCTTTCATTTAGCAGACTGACTGCAAGGTCTACACACAGATAAAGACATTCAACCAAAAAGCAAACTGTTTCTGTTTGGTAATTTCTTAAAGGAATAGTTCACCCAAAAATAAACATTTGCTGAAAATGCACACACCCTCAGGCCATCCAAGATGTAGATTATTTCTCCATCAGAACAGATTTGGAGAAATTTAGCATTAGATCACTTGCTCGCCAGCGGATCCTATGCAGTGAATGGGTGCCGTCAGAATGAGAGCCCAAACAGTTGATAAACACATCACAATAATCTACAAGTAATCCACACGACTCCAGTCCATCAAATAATGATTTGTGAAGCGAAAAGCTGCAGGTTTGTAAGAAATACCTCCATCATTTAGGCATTTTAACTTCGCTTCTGGCCAAAATAAATACCAGTCAGTAATCCATACGATCCATACGAGTGTGAACTATTCCTTTAAGAGCAAGATAACACAACTGAAAGAAAAAAAATATGTGCGAGTAAAGGATACTTACTTGACGCAGTCTCAATGCCAGAAACGGGTTTCTGGAAATTAAAAAAATAATTAGTGTTTTGCTGTTTGCTGCCCACATTTTCTCCTGTATGTGTTTTAAGCGTGCATGAATGTGTGTGTGTGTGTGTGTGTGTGTGTGTGTGTGATTGACAGTGTATGGTGTTGTGGTGCTGTGTGCGTGCATGGTATTACTCAGCATGCGTGGGCATCCGTCCTTCAGTGTTATACATGAGCAGCCCATGTGTTGGAAGTCCTCTCAGCAAGATACAATAGACCGTACCTTTATTTCGGTCTAGTAGATCACACCATGAGCTCCATTACTGTGAGTGTTCTGAAATCAGCACTGATCGAGTTTGTTTACTGTGTTGACATTTTCAGTGCTGAGAATTTTATTTGTATTTTTTCTTTGGATATTTGGAGAGGATATTGATCTTTAAACTCATTAAGTATGTAAAAGTGTATGTTTGTGTGTGTGACAGGAAGAGAAAGAGTATATGTTCTGGCCAGGACTTCCTCCCACATTAGCTCCAGGGATTACAGAAGCAGATGAGTGGGTGGCATGTAAAAACATGGAGGGGGCCGCCGTTCGACTCCAAATCTAGAATCCCTCACCTCTCTTTGTATACAGACACATGTGAACTCGCTCCACTGTGGGCTTAGATTGGCACAGGCAACAGCTGCTGGTAAAGTTTCTTCTGTGCTAACCATAAATAAATGCAAAGAAAAAAGATTTAGTAAAAAAAAAAATGTATATATTTATGGGGGCGGTCTTGTGTGCTGCAGTCTTTTTTTTTTTTTTTAGCATTTTTCATGGAGCAGATTCAAATAAGAACATTGAAAATAAAATGTTAAAAATGTTGTTGATCAAGTCTCAATATTAGCATTCTAAAGTCTTAAAAGTTCATTGCATTTAGTTATGTTTTATATCTGGAGTCTCTGGGATACCCAACATACTGTAAGTAATGCAATATACATTTCATAAACATTTTATTCAAGTTTTTAAGTTGAAATTTTGTTGAAAGGAAATTCAGGCAAGGAAATTCTTAAAATCTTAAAACTATCAACCTGCTATTTCACTATACGTATTTTTGTGAAATATTTAGCCTAAAAGTCCAGACAGGACGTAAATGGCGTTAGAAACTCTGAGGTCATGGGTTCGATTCCCAGGGAATTAACGGATAAGATGTAGCCTATACTTTGAATGCAGTGCAATCACTTTGAATAAAAGCGTCTGTAAATTAAAAAGTACATGCTTGTCCGAAAAGGTTCAGCCTTGAAATGTAGTAAAACGTAATCGGCCTTGTGTCCTTTATTTTGAGAAAGTGGAGGTGCGATACTTGTGTGGGAGGCACTAATTCAGCTACTGATATCGCTCCATTCTGCACTCGCTGCGCTCGAATTCAGTCAGCACAGTCTTTCAACTCCAACTTTCAGCGTGATCCAGACGCACTTGACTGACCGCAACGCGACGAATTGGCCAACTAGGATCCGACGACATGTTATGAACTGAGAAATAATGGATTAACATGTTAAACTGAAATAAAAGATGCATTCTGATCTGGCAGACTCCGTGTAGCGCGGCGATGCGCAGCGGCAGGTGATGTGGGTGCTGACGCGTCGGGGCGCAACTGGTCTCCAAGCGGCGCTTAGAAACTGTGGAAGAACTTTTACACGATTGGCTTTCAGTAGGAGCCAGAATCATGGAATTGAGGGACTATCCACTAAGTCATCATGACAATTTCAATATTAGTTTCTATTTAGGCATTTATTGTTTATTAAAAACAGCTGTGCGAATTAACAAACGGGCCGTTTTAAAGCGCAAACCTAGTATTGCGTATTGAATTACGTTTTAAAACTTTTCTAGTGCATTTAGTGACAACACTTGTTCTTATCGAGTTAATCCGGATCCCGTTGGCTCGTATGGGACTGAGGCACTCATCGCGGTGCCTGCTCCTGCGGAGAAAGATGGCGGAGGCGGAGAGCTCGGAGGTAAGTCAAAGATTCCTTAAGTCATCTATAATACATCAATGCTCGTCCGAACATTCATACTTCTAAATCGCTTGAGATTCATTCTAGTCGCTTGTGTGTGTTTAAGTGCATGATTGCGTAAAATGACGCGCTGGTTTGGAGGTCATACAAATCAGTGCCCGGTGATGTGTAGGACTATGCAGACTAATAACCACTGCGATCCGAGCAGAGCAGAACACGTCCAATTCACGGAATAACGTCCTGAAAGCGATCACACAGACCACACCGAACGCTAAATAGAGAGGTTTATATTAATATTTATGTTGCGAGTCTAGGTTGCGTAAAGATTAGGCAGTCAGACATCAGATGAAACCTCAAAGGCAACGAATTATCCTATAATTTTGTACCTAAACGATAAAGTAAGACGATGAAGTTAGTCGTGTGCTTGTTGAATTGAGCAGTCATTGCTCTTTTATGTAGTCTATTGGGTCATCGCGAGACGGCTGAGCGCTGTCCTTGGTGCTGCAGTATTTTGCCCCCCCCCCCCCACCC